CTTTCCTTTCCTCTTTGCTTTGTCTTTCCTTTCCTCATTGCTTTGTCTTTCCTTTCCTCTTTGCTTTGTCTTTCCTTTCCTCATTGCTTTGTCTTTCCTTTCCTCATTGCTTTGTCTTTCCTTTCCTCATTGCTTTGTCTTTCCCTTCCTTTCCTCTTTGCTTTTGTCTTTCCCTTCCTTTCCTCATTGCTTTGTCTTTCCTTTCCTCTTTGCTTTGTCTTACCTTTCCTCATTGCTTTGTCTTACCTTTCCTCTTTGCTTTGTCTTTCCTTTCCTCATTGCTTTGTCTTTCCTTACCTTTCCTCATTGCTTTGTCTTTCCTTTCCTCTTTGTCTTTCCTTTCCTTTCCTCATTGCTTTGTCTTTCCCTTCCTTTCCTCATTGCTTTGTCTTTCCTTTCCTCTTTGCTTTGTCTTTCCTTTCCTCTTTGCTTTGTCTTTCCTTTCATCTTTGCTTTGTCTTTCCTTTCATCTTTGCTTTGTCTTTCCTTTCCTCATTGCTTTGTCTTTCCTTTCCTCATTGCTTTGTCTTTCCTTTCCTCATTGCTTTGTCTTTCCCTTCCTTTCCTCTTTGCTTTGTCTTTCCCTTCCTTTCCTCTTTGCTTTGTCTTTCCTTTCCTCATTGCTTTGTCTTTCCTTTCCTTTCCTCATTGCTTTGTCTTTCCTTTCCTCTTTGCTTTGTCTTTACGTTCTTTTCTTCACTCTTTCTCGCTCTCATTCATTCTTTCTCTCTTTCATCCTGTACCCGCCACACACACTCTCTGCCTTTCTCTCTCCACAGGAGCGTCTAGTTCTGAGTAATGACGACTGGCTGGTACTTGTCCCATACTGGGCAGTTTGGCCGTTTCAGACCCTTTTGCTGCCTCGCCGTCATGTGACCCGCTTGCAGGACCTGAACAGCACGGAGAGAGACAGTGAGTGCTTTATATGTCCTTCTCACATCTCTTCCTGCTGACACCCGCTACCTGCGCTCCCTGCTATCTGCTGCATCTCTGTCACTATTTCACCACTCACCTGTACACTTTCTCTGTCACCAATAAAAGGTCACTGATACACCCTGTCACCAATGCCCCAGTCACTTAGCACTATCCCCTAATAGTTCTGCCACTTTTGCACTGTTATCACCCCCCCCCCC